TCCAATTTCAGTAGTCTTCTTCAGGTCTCTCCCATAGAGATGCCCCCTTATGCTCACTTATGGTCTGATTATTCATGCTCTCATGCCCATCTATATTGGTTCACTCAGGAAATAATCTTCTGTTTACCTTCCCATGTAGATCTGAATATTCCCCCATGAGCCCTCCTTGTTACCTATTTTTTTCTGGGTCTGTTGATTATAGCATGATTATCCTTTATTTTATAGCTAGTATCCACTTATGAGTGAAGACAAACCATGTTTGTCTTTCTTGGCCTATGTTACCTCACTGAGGATTATTTTTTTTCTAGATCAATGCATTTGCTTTAAATTTTCTGGTATCTTTGTTTATAGCAGCTGAGTAATATTTTATTGTGTAAATATACCACATTTTTGTCACCCATTCCTCAGTTGAGGGAAATCCCGGTTGTTTCCAGGTTCTTGCTATTACACATAAAACTTCTGTGAGCATAGTTGAACAAGTGACCTTGTGGTGTGATTGAACATTCTTTGGATAGATGGCCAAAAGTGGTATAGCTGTGTTTTGAGGTAGATTAACTCCTAGTTTTCTGAGAAACAATCATTCTGACTTCCAAAGAGGCAGTAAAAGTTTGCACTTCTCCCAGCAATGAAGGAGTATTCCCCTGCTCCATATCCTTGCCAGCCTGAGCTGTCACTTGTGGTTTTGATCTTAGCCATTCTGACAAAATAAAAGGGAATCTCAGGGTCTTTTGATTTGCATTTCCCTAATGGTCAAGGATGTTGAACATCTTCTTAAATGTTTCCCAGTCATTTGAAATTTTTCTGTTGAGAATTCTCTGTTTAGATCTATATCCCATTTTTATTTATTTATTTATTTATTTGTTAGTTTTTGTTTTCTTGTTTGTTTAGTTGTTCTTTTGTGAGACATGGTTTCTCTGTGGAACAACCATAGCTGTCCTGGAACTAGCTTTTGTAGGCCAGACTGTCCTCAAATTCACAGAGATCCACAGGTAATTCTGCCTTCTAAGTGCTGGGATTAAAACACATGTGTTGGTATGTATCCCATTTTTAATTAATTTGGTTATCTAGTTTATTGTATTATCTAGTTAATTGGATTATCTAGTTTCTTGACTTTTTTTATATTTTGGATATCAGTCCTTTGCCAAATATGGAGTTGACGAATTTTTTTTTCCTATTTTGTAGGCTGACATTTTGTCCTACTGTCAGTGTCCTTTGCCTGTGCACTGTTGATGTTCTGTTCAGGAAGTTGTCTCACGTGCAAATGACTTCAAGACTAGCTATTCCACACATTCTCTTCTATCAGGTTCAGTACATCTGGTTTTATGTGGATATCTTTGATCCAATTGGATTTGAGTTTTGTACAAGATGACAAATATGAATCTATTTGCATTCCTCAACAAGCAGATATCCAGCACCACGTGTTGAACTTGCTTTCTTTTTTCCATTACGTATTTCTGGCTTCTTTGTCAAAATCAGGTATTTATGGGTATGTGGATCTTTTAAATGATTTTATTGATCAACCTGTCTATTTTTATGCCAATACCATGCTGTTTTGATTAGGAAAGCTCTGTAGTAGTACTTGAAATCAGGAATGGTAATACCTCCAGAAGTTCTTTTATTGTCCAGGATTATTTTAGCTATCCTGGGGTTTTTGTTTTTCTGTATGAATTTGAGTATTGTTCTTTCTAGGTCTGTATAGAATTGTGTTTGAATTTTAATGGTGGCAACCCCACTTTCTTATCCCAGCACTAAAATGGACCTGTTGTGATCTCCCCCCCACAATCTGCAACTATTGCCAGGTAACTAAGTAGATCGTAGTAGAGTACTCTCTTTTCCCCCCTCCTTTGGAGCCCCTCAACCCATTTTTCCTAGTCCTTTCCATTTCCTTCAGCCTCCAATACCTAAAAACACATTCAATGATATGTATCCAGGGTTCACACTGAACGGTATCCCAGAATTTCCTGCCAGGCATCTCATAGCCAACACCCCTTGCTGAGAGTCAGAGAGTAAAATCAAAACCAATAGAAATAAACAACAACCAAACAAAGGCAATACAAGATCAGCTCCCAGAATTACAATCTTCCCCAAACCAGATGACTTGATGCCAGAATAAAAGCACAATCAATAACTTCCAGGGCAATCTGCTTCTACTAGAGCACATCAACTCCTTGAGAAGTGTAACTTAGCTGAAGCACAAGAAAAAGATTTTAAAATGGCATTCGTTGGTATAATAGCTTTCCTTAAATAGGAAATGAATAAATATCTTAAGTAAACATATGAAAACACAAACCAACTGTGAAAGGAAATAAATAAAGATGTCTAATGATGGAAAGTGAATCAATAAGGAAATCATAAATTGTGGAAAATTTGGGTGTGAAAAATTTTGACTTTGAACAAGAACCACAGAGGCAAGCATTTCTAACAGAATAGAGAGGTGGAAAAGAAAATCTCAGGCATTGGAGACAAAAAGAAGAAATGGATACTTTGGTTGGTGAAAATGATAATCTAAAAATTATCCAGAAAGTTTGGGACACTATGGAAAGACCCAATCTAATAATAATTAAAAGAGACTAAGGAAAACATACCCAGGTCTAAGGCACAGAAAATATTTTCACCAAAATCATAGAAAATATTTTCCAAACCTAAAGCAGGAAATTACTGTCAAGGTATAATAATTACAGAGAAGATCAAATATACTGGAACAGAAAAGAAATTTGCTCTTGGTATATAATAATCAAAACAATAAAAACAGAATAAGAAAGAATAATGTGAAAGACCCCTGAGGGATGTCTTCCTTTCGAGAGAGGCCCCCGGACCCACGAATCAGACGAAACCACACTTACGGATGCAAACAGCAAGAGGTTTATTCGAACACACAGGTACCTGGGGCGACAAGGTCTCTCGGAAGACTTGCGCGCCCCCAGGTTGGAGTGAGGGGTTCTTATAGGAGAGCAAAAGCGCGGGTACAGAAGCGAAAAACGTGATTACGGGGATTCATTCCATTGGTCAATTCAAATAAGGCTAAGAATGAGCTCTGAGTGGCAAATTCTTCACCTTTCACCTAAATACCAAGGAGGGGGTTGTCCAGGGGCTTCCTGTTTTTCCTGCTTTCCTAGCTGGAGACCCAATGGCCGATGGCCGGCTGTAATTACCCTGACTCACATCCTGTCACAGGACAACAGGCCCCCTTATCTCTTCCTCTCCCCTAGCTGGGGCCTGACTTGTTTGTCCCTAAGGACCTATATTCTAACACCACGGGTGGTATTCCTTTCTTTTTTCCTTTTCAAATGAAAATTTAAGAGAAAAATACCAAGTTACTTATGAAAGTAGACCTATTAAAATAATACAAACTTCAAAAAATGACACCAAAGGCCAGAAAGGCCTAGACAGATGTGCTGCAGATTCTTAAGGATAGCAGATACCAGTCAAGACTATTCTCTCCAGAAATTTTTCAATCAAAATGAATGGAGAAAGTAAAATATTCCATGAAAAAATGAATTTTAAACCATTACTATCTACAAATATACCAGGACAGAAGAAGCTAGAAGGAAAACTCCAACCTAAAGAGGTTAACCACAACCAAGGAAACACATGGAATAAATAATTCCTGAATACCAAATAAATAGAGGAGAACACACACACACACACACACACACACACACACACACACACACACACACTGTAGACCCATATTTCTTTAGGGTGTAGCAGCCAGGCTCTGAAGCCATTGGGCCAATCTGAAATGATCAGTAGCCCTGCAGTCAAGCTGTCTCTGCCTGACAAAGGTCAGGATGTTGGCTGCTCCCTTTCTTTGTAATTTAGAGGATGCCTTATAGAGATGCTAATTCAAGCCTACAGGACAGCTAGCATACTCAGCAGACAGGTAGATGTGGACATGACAAAAGGTCATTCACCTGGTTGCCTAGGTGACAAAATGATGATGTATTTTCCCACTGAGTTTATGTATTGGTATAAAAGATGTTTGGAGAATAAACGAGAGGAGATCTTCAGGAGGAAGAAGCCTGAGATGCCCTTTTCCGTAATAATGGTGTAAATTGTGTCTGGTTATTCCTTGTGCTTCCGTACCAGTCCAGTTAGGAAAAATAAATATTTGTGTTGGAGCCACATGGGCTTTAACAACACACACACAAATACACACCACAATAACAAAATATCAGGATCAATGAACACTGCTCATTTATATGTCTCAACACCTATGGTCTTCATTCAGAAAAGTAAAACAAAAAAATAAATAAATAAATAAAAAATAAAGACACTGACTAACAGAATGAAGTTGAAGACAGAATTATCCTTCTCTTGTATCCAAGAAACACATTTTAACAAGTATAGACATAACTTCCAACAGAAAGAAAGAACAAAGATATTCCAATCAAGTGGACCTAAGAAGAAAGTTGGTGTAATCTTTTTATATTTTAAAAATTAGACTTCAAATCAAAACTAAACTTGCACCAAAACTAGGACACCCAGGTTCCTAAGAAACACCACTACATCTTAAATCACATATTGCCCCTCAACATTGATAGTGGGAGAAATCAATACCTTTTTTTTCATCAATAGACAGGTCATTCTCACAAAATCCACACATAGAAATGGAAGGATCAACTGACATTATACGCCAAATGGACCTGACAGACATATAGAGAACATATCACTTCCCCCATACACCCTCAGAAGACATAAGAATATCCTTTCTTCTAAGAAACTGTCAGAAATATCTCCAAAATTGATCACATACTCAGAAACAAAAAATCTTAATAGCTGCAAAGACATTGAAATAGCACTTAGCATCTGTTACAAGGAGAGAGGGGTCCTTTCTTTGTCCCAGCCACCTGGCTAGCTTAGTCTGAAAAAACCACACAGAAACTGTATTCATTAAAACACTACCTGGCCAGTAGCTCTAACTTCTTATTAGCTAACTCTTACATATTAGTTTAACCCATGTCCATTAATCTGTGTATCACCACATGACTGTGGCTTACCGGCAAGATTTTAACCAGTCTCCATCTCAGGCAGAAGATTCATGGTGTCTCTCATTCCACCCTTCTTCCCAGCATTCAGTTCTGTCTTCTCTGCCTATCCAAGCTTTGCCCTATCAAGCCCAAAATAGTTTCTTTATTCATTAAGCAATGAAAGCAACACATGAACAGAAAACCTCCAACACCAAGAATCCTCTCTAACCATCTCAGATTAAACATTAACAAAAACAAGATAAAGCATGTAAGCGCATAAAAACTGAGCAACTTAGTACTGAATGAAAAAGAGGTAAAGTCTGAAGTTAAGAAAGATTTTAAAAGCTTCTGTAATTTAATGAAAATGAATATACAACATACCTTTATGGAACACAATGTAAGAGATTTTAGGAGGCAAGTTCATAGCATTAAGTGCCTACATTAAAATAATAATAATGATAATAGGAGAAATCCAATACTAGCAACTTAACTACACACTTGAGCGCAATAGAACAACAAGAAGAAACCGCACACAACAGGAGTAGATGGGAATAAACAATCAAACTTAGAGCTGAAATCAATAAATTGAACCAACGTAAGAAAACAATGCAAAAAAATACATGAAATAAACAGTTGTTTGTTTGAGAAAGTAAATAAGAATGAGATGGCTACTTTAACTAAAAGGAAGAAAGAGAATACCCAAATTAACAACATTGGAGATTTAGAGATAAAAAGGGAGACATAAAAAACAGACACCAAAGAAATGCTGAGAATTATAAGTTCATATTTAAATAAGTACTCCAACAACTTGGACAACCTTAAATAAAGAGTTTCTAATTTTCTAATACATGAAACTTAAATGTAGAGCAAAATCTTTAGCAGACCTATAGTCTCTACTGAAGTTGAAGAAGTCATTAAAAATCTCCAAACAAAAAAAGAAGAAAAAAACAAAACAAACAAAAAAAGAGGATCACATGACATCAGCAAAGAATTGCATCAGAATTTCAGAGAACAGTAAATTCCAATATTCCACAAATCATTTAATAAAATAGAAACATAATTTGAGAAAATTACCCATTTCATTTCCTTTATCTTATTTTATTATTTATTTATTAAAAATTTCCACCTCCTCCACACCTCCCTTTTCCCTTCCCCTCCCCACCTCCCCCTCCCTTTCTAGTCTTAAGAGCAGACAGGGTTCCCTGCCCCGTGGGAAGTCCAAAGTTCAGCCTCCTTCAACCAAGTCTATAAAGGTGAGCATTCAAACAAACCAGGCTCCCACAAAGTCAGTCCATGCAGCAGAATAAAAATCCAGTGCCATTGTCCTTGACCTCTCAGTAAGCCCTCATTGCCAGCCACATTCAGAGTCCAGTTTGATCACATGCTCCATCACTCCCAGTCCAGCTGGCCTTGGTGAGCTCCCATTAGATCAGTCCCACAGTCTCAGTGGGTGAACACACCCCTCGTGATCCTGACTTCCTTGCTATGTTCTCCCTCCTTCTGTTCCTCATTTGGACCTTGGGAGCTAAGTCCAGTGCTCCAATGTGGGTCTCTGTCTCTATCTCCATCCATCGCCAGATGAAGATTCTATGGTGATATGAAAGATATCTCCCCAGCTCTCCTGAATCTTCCCCTTCTCCCTTCTCTCTACTCATCTCCCTTTACATCCACCCCCCCCACCCCACCCCCGTGCACCCAAGTTTTGCCTGGCAATCTTGTCTAATTCCAATATCCAGGAGGATAACTATGTGATTTTCTTTGGGTTCACTTTCTTATTTAACTTCTCTAGGATAACTAATTATAGGCTCAATGTCCTTTAATTATGGCTAGAATCCACTTATGAGTGAGTACATACCATATTCCTCTTTTTGGGTCTGGGTTACCTCACTCAGTAAAGCGTTTTCTATTTCCATCCATTTGCATGCAAAATTCAAGATGTCATTGTTTTTTACCGCTGAGTAAAACTCCAATGTTCCACATCTTCTTTAACCATTCTTCTATTGAGGGGTACCTAGGTTGTTTCCAGGTTCTGGCTATTACAAATAGTGCTGCTATGAACATAGTTGAACAAATGTTTTTATAGTAAGATATGGCGCCTCTTGGGTATATTCCCAAGAGTGGAATTGCTGGGTCCTGAGGGAGGTTGACTCCCAGTTTCCTGAGAAACTGCCACACTGATTTCCACAGTGGCTGCACAAGTTTGCATTCCCACCAACAATGGATGAGAGGTCCCCTCTCTCCACATCCTCTCCAGCATAGGCTATCATTGATGCTTTTTATTTTAGCTATTCTGACAGGTGTAAGATGGTATCTCAAAGTTTTTTTGATTTGCATTTCCCTGATCGCTAAGGAGGTTGAGCATGACCTTAAGTGTCTTTTGGCCATTTGAACTTCTTCTTAATTTTGATAAATTGTATTTATCTAAAAAAGTTTTCATTTCTTCCACGTTTTCCAATTTTGTGGCATACAGGCTTTTGTAGTAAGATCTAATGATTCTTTGAATTTCCTCTGTGTCTGTGGTTATGTCCCCCTTTTCATTTCTGATCTTGTTAATCTGCGTGCTCTCTCTCTGCTGTTTGATTAGTTTGGATAGGGGTTTGTCAATCTTGTTGATTTTCTCCAGGAACCAGCTTTTTGTTTCATTGATTCTTTGGATTGTTTTCTGTGATTCAATTTTGATGATTTCAGCCCTCATTTTAATTATTTCCAGTCTTCTACTCCTCCTGGGTGAGTCTGCTTCTTTTTTTTTTTCTAGAACTTTCAGGTGTGCTGTTAAGTCTCTAATGTGTGCTTTTTGCATTTCCTTTATGTGGGCATTTAGTACTTTCCTCTTAACACTCCTTTCATAGTGTCACATAGGTTTGGGTATTATGTGTCTTCATTTTCGTTGAATTCCAGGAAGACTTTAATTTCTCTCTTTATTTCTTTCTTGACCCAAGGATGGTTCAGTAGTTGACTGTTCAGTTTCCATGAGTTTGTAGGCTTTCTGGGGTGAGAATTGTTGTTGAATTTTAACTTTATTCCATGGTGATCTGATAGTACACAGGTGATTACTACAATTTCTTTATATCTATGGTTGTTTATTTTGTTACTAATTATGTGATCAATTTTTGAAAAGGTTCCATGAGATGTTGAAAAGAAGGTATTTTTTTTTCTGTTTGGTGGAATGTTCTATAGATGTCTGTTAGGTCCATTTGAGTCATTACATGTGTTAGTTCTCTTATTTCTCTGTTAGGTTTCTGCCTGGTTGACCTGTCCATTGGTGAGAGAAGAGTGTTGAAATCACCCACTATTAGAGTGTGGGGTTTGATGTATGTTCTGAGTTCTAGTAATGTTTCTTTTTCATATGTGGGTGCTTTTATATTAGGGGCATAGATATTCATGATTGAGACTTCCTCCTGATGAATTGTTCTTGATATGAGTATAAAGTGTCCATCTCTGTCTTTTCTGCTTGATTTTATTTTGAAATCTGTTTTGTTAGATATTAGTATAGCCACACCTGCTTGTTTCTTTGATCCACTTGATTAGAAAACCTTTTCCCAACCCTTTACTCTGAGATAGTGTCTCTCTTTGTGTTTGAGGTGTGTTTCTTGTAGGCAGTAGAATGTTGGATCCTGATTTCGTATCCATTCTCTTAACCTGTGCCTTTTTATAGGTGAGTTGAGCCCATTGATATTAAGCAATATTAATGACCAGTGATTGTTGACTCCGGTTATTTTTCTTGGTGCCAGTGTTTGTGTGTTTCCCTTCCTCAAGTTGTGCTGATGGAGGGTTGTCAGATGCTTGTGTTATTATGGGCCTTGTTGGCTTCCTTGGTTTGTGATTTTCCTTCTAGTATTTTCTGTAAGGCTGGGTTTGTGGCTACATATTGTTTAAATCTGTTTTTGTCCTGGAATATCTTGTTTTCTCCATCGATGGTGAATGCAAACTTTGCTGGGTATAGTAGTCTGGGATTGCCTCCTTGGTCTCTTAGTTTCTGCAGCACATCTATCCAAGACCTTCTGCTTTCATGGTTTCCATTGAGAAGTCAGACATAATTCTGATAGGTTTCCCTTTATATGTTACTTAACATTTTTCCCTTGCAGCTCTTAATATTTGTTCTTTATTCTGTATGTTTTGTGTTTTGATTATTATATGGTGAGGGGATTTTTTTTTAATCTAGTCTACTTGGTGTTCTGTATGCTTCTTGTACCTTCACAGGAATATCCTTCTGTAGTTTGGGGAAGTTTTCTTCAATAATTTTGGTGAATATATTTTCTGGGCCTTTGAGCTGTAAATCTTCTCTTTCTTCTACACCTATTATTTGTAGGTTTGGCTTTTTCACATTGTCCCAGATTTCCTGGATGTTTGTGATAAGAATTTGTTGGATTTGTTTTGTTCTTTAATCAGTGAGTTTATTTCCTCTAGAGTATCTTCTGTGTCTGAGAGTCTTTCTTTTATCTCTTGTATTCTGTTGGTAATACTTGTCTCTGCACTTCCTATTCATTTACCCAGGTTTTCCATATCCAGCCTTCCCTCGGTTTGTGTTTTCTTCATTACCTCCATTTCATTTTTCAAGTCTTGAACTGTTTCCCTTTCCTGTTTGATTGCTTTTTCTTGATTTTCTTGGTTTTCTTGGTTATCTTTGAGAGATTTATTCATTTCATCTACTTTTTTGTTTTTTTATGTCCATTTTTTTTCGTCAGTTTTTCACCTCCTGTTTAAGTTCTTCTATTATTTTCATATACTTCTGTTTAGCGTCGATTTCTTCTATTTCTTCTGGAGTAGGGTGTTCAATTCTTTTAGTTTCGTGATCCCTGGATTCTGGTGTAGTCATGTTGCCTTTCAGATTGTTGGAGGAATTCTTGCATTGGCACCTGCCCATCTCTTCCTTCAAGTGGTGCCAGGAGAGTCTTGGTGTCTTGTTCAGTCTTTGCTGTGACTGACTCTCTGGATGGATCTCTTCAGTGCAGGAGTAGAAACTGTTTTTGTCCCTCTTGATGGAACTCCTCAGCACAGACACAAGAATAGCTGGTATTCCAAGGACACCACAGACAAAAAGCGAATGTGGGGGCAGGGCAGGGTCGAGGGGAGGGGAACCCAGAAGACCCTGCAGCAGGAGCTGGGGGGTACTGTGCTCTCTTCCGGGACAATCCACTGGGGATATCACACA